AATTAAATTTGTTTATCTTTTATCTGTATCTTAGATAAAATTTAGTGTTGTTATCTTTATCTTTATCCAGATGATTTTTTTGTTATCTGTTCCTAACACTGCACATTGCAATACTATAAATTATTTGAAAACCTTATACATATTTCATTTTACAGCCCACTAAATGTAAAATAAACTTGCAGAGATATATCCCAAAATTATAGGTATACGATTTACAGACACTATATTTTAGTGTGATGCATTTATTTTTGTAAATGTTTGTTTCGTACCTATATGTGACAAGACCCCAATTCTCCATAGCACCGGCAGAAAAATCGGGTATGGCCACCATGTCTTGTTTGGACAACGGAAATTTTTCATCGAAATAGTCCTCGTAATATTTTAAGACCAACGGTCCCGCGTTTTTGGCAAGTTCTGTTTGATCGGCAGCGTCCTTCCTGGCTATTATACGGAACTTCACTTCGTCATCTCGACTGTCCGACTCTATGTATACGAAATCTGACACCATGTATGCTACTAAATAAGTAGACATCGGTACAGATTCTTCGAATTCGTCGAAAACAAAACCTGGTTTTGAAGGGCTAAAACATGAAATTATTGTCTTGTTTTTAATATACTATTGTACAAAACTATTTAAAAAATATATATTATTTTTACGATCAATAGTATTCAATCGGCATTAATCCAGTAAATATTATACATAGACTTACATGGGCGTTTCTTTCATAAATTTCATATTACTAATTGAAGTCAGTCCTATTTTATGGCCCAATCTTATCTTGAAGGTTGCTTTATACGCGGGCTCGTCAAAACAGGGGAAAGCTCTTCGTGCGTCAGCTGGTTCGAATTGTGTTACAGCTAACCATCTACGACATAGGTAATATTATATTTTTACTTCGTTAGTGGATGATAAGAAATCACGAAAACTATTTATTTTTTATTTTTTCACGAGTTGTGCTGTGCACCGTAATAATATAATAATAACGCACCTTGTTTGATTGCTCTCCTTGTCCACATAACTACTCTTATAGTAACCTACTAAATCGTCGGTGATATTTCCGGTAAATGGTATGGTCAGCACATATTCATCACCAGGCTTAAATTTTACTGTTGACTTAACGTACATAAGTTCTTTTGTCGGATCAAACGAAACACTTTCCACCGGTACAATAGTTTCTCCATTGTTGGCCACAACAACACTTTTGGTATCGATGTCCAAACTGTTCGAATGCAGTACTATGGTGTCAGTGGCTTCTACACAGTTTATCTGAATAAATTAAATATATCTGATTCAAAATTATTGTTACTTATTTAATTTTATCACAATATTAATGTAAGACGTTGTTGTTGGCAAAATGCTAGTTATTAATTTAAATTCAGAAATATCTGAAAAAAAATATTCGAATAAATGTCAATAGATCATATTGTATATTATACTATTATKTTTACCTTAATATMAAATTGTAATTGATAATTTGAAAATTTGAAAAGTTTTCAAAATTGTACATTTTTTGTTTACATATTAAAATTGCATTATATATTTTAGAAATTTCCTTTTCTGAACATGTAACATAGTTATTATAGGTAATTATTGTGACTCGTGTCACGCTGATGGAAACTCACTTTAATATCGACTATTCCCTCAAACACGAATTTATCATCCAAGTATGTCGTCACGTCCAGTCGATAGCTAACTGGATTAAAATTAGTTGGCAATTTGTATTCGGAACTTTCTTTAGAATTAACAACCGATCCCATGAGGGACAATGTGATGATGAGTAGCATTTTAAAACCCACAAATTCCATTCTAAACAAATTTTAAGCACACAAAAGCATAAATAAKTAAATAAATATAAATATAAATATTAGAGATGTTACGAACTGTTCGATTCGAAAACCGAACCAAATATCTAATAGTTTCGTTCGATAATCGAACCAGAGAAATAAAAATAAAAGTCGATGGAGTAACGGCTAGTTACTATAATAATAATATCCAATTTAACTTTTAATGTTCGGTTCGAGTTTGATAAAATATTTGAAGAGTTCGGTTCGGTTCGAGTTCGATTAAAAGTGTGTAGGTTCGGATCTGTTCGAGTTCGTTAATTTAAAGAAAACTTCGGTTCGGGTTCGGTTTGACCTTAAATATTATGGTTCGTAATATCTCTAATAAATATTATACATAAACATATTTTTTTTAAATATTTTTAAAATATATTTGCTTAAGATRAGTACCTATCAAGTGTGTGAACTTCTTATATACTTATATGTATTAAACATAATATTTATATAATATCAATAATTTTACTATCATATGAGTATCACTAAACTTGTTTTAAATAATATAGCAAAATATGAAATATAATATAATATTATTAATTAATAATTAAAATGTATGATATTGTTTGTACTGGATA